CGCCCCTCAGGCGCCGCCCGTCCGGCGGCAGCGGCAACGGTAACAGTAACGGCCAGGGCTCGCGGCGGGCCCGCCGCGCATGCGCCGGCAGCGCCACAGGCCGCACGCGCGGGGGCAACGCGCGTGCCCACTGGCGGCCCGGCGCCGCGCCTGCGCAGTGACGCGTCCGCGCGCCTCGAGGGGCGCTGGCGGCGAGCGGGTGGCGGCAGGAGCTGTTAACGCCTTTGGGCGACACTCAAGGTGATAAGGAATTAACGTTTTCCTAGAAAAAAATTACCAATTGAAGGTGTTCTTTCTTTCCACGCATCTCCGTGAGGTGACTCCCTGCGGGCTGCTGCCCCGTGAGCCGCCCCTGCCTCGGCGGTGTGCCTGGGGCCCTGAGGGCCTCGGGGCAGGGCTGGGAGTGCAGGCCAAGGGAGAGTAGCGTCTGCCTGTGGGGTTTCGCTGGTCACTTGCCGCATGTCCTTGTGCTGGGTCCCAACATCCGTCTAGCAGAAACACCCAATTTCTCTTTTACCGGTTAAGAAGGAGCGAGCACAGAGAGGGGTTGAGACTTCAACCCATTTGTCAGCTGGAGTCTCAGTAATGCACAGTTTGTCACTGAGGTTGAGAAGCAAAGAGAGTAAAAAGGAATGACTTTGGGTGTAACTGTACAAATACAAAGGTGGTGTAATTATGCTGGATTTAATAGAACCGTAAGAAGTGGGAAAATTCATTTCAGGAAAAAAATAGTAGATTTCCTGACTAATAACTTATGTCTTAGAATATCCATGTTACTTAAAATGGATGTAGTAACAGTGTTTTAAGGAAGTACTTCTTGCCAAGAAACCTGTGTGTAGGCTTTCTTTGAAAGCTGAACCATTATTTCTGAGCTGGAGCTTTCTGACAAAAACTCTGCAGTATGTATAGGTGGTGCACACGTGTGCGTCCTATACAGGCACAATACCCAAACACTGAGACGAGTCCAGAGCAGCCTGTTCTAGGTGACTGTTCCTGACCAGGGGCATTGGACAAGGTGTCCTGCAAAGGCCACTTGCAACCTCAACCGCACTGGGATTCTGGGAAGTGGTGTATGAGTCACAAACGCCTTGTGTGGTATAATTTTTTTTTTCTGGCAAGTCCTAGAAAGATATACCTCTAGCTTAAACTTAAGCAAAGAGAGACATGCATGTGATAACATCAGCATTCCTCAGCGCAGTATATATTCACATAACTATTTGGAAAAATAAAGTGCATCAACTGACATAATAACTAGTTGTGGAGTTTAGATTAATTGTGTTCAGTGGGTGGCTCATGGAGTCTCTCTAAGGAATACAGTACAAAAATGAAGGCAGATCTGACAAATGTTGCTAATCTGTCTATAAGTTTCCAGGCATAAGTTAGGAAAATGTAAAAGCTGCTCTGCAAGGAGCATGAGTTACTGATGAGGAACGACACATTAGCACCCCACCATCATATGAGAGAATCCAGTATGACAATCCTAGAGTGTCCGAACAGGGGGACTGTAAGCAATGTATAGATAGATCACAGCAGTACAAGAGATTGTATAAATTGATGGCAAGAAAAGGTTCACTTTAATTTTTCTGCAGTCTACAATATATTGGGGAAGTTGGAGGCTCCCCTGAGGATGTCCAATTGAGTTTATGCTAGCTATAGAAAGAGAGCATGAAATTCTGACATCTCTGTGCTTTCAATTCCTTGTGAAACAACTTTATCTGCTGGGCTGCATCAGCAGTTCAGACGTGACCCACCTAGCAAAAGAGCAGAACTGCAGGTCAGCATTTATTAAAAATGTCTACTGTTTGTGCAGTGTGGTGTCACGGCTCAGCTTCAGCCTCTTAAGACTGATCAATTACAAACATCTGGATGTCTGCCTAGAGCTGGAATTACTCTGACCAGTTACTTCAGCTCAAGTGGCTTTTAGTAAAGGGGAGCTGCAGTTCAATAAAATGGAAATATTGTTTAACATTACCAATACAGTGAGCTGAACCTGCAATATCAATTAGTCTGAAAATGTGTTTGATGAGTGCACTAATATTAGACAGTATTATTCCCTCTAATGTTATCTTAATCTCTATTTATATGCGAAGTGTGTGCAATACACTTTAAATCAGCTGTCACAACTCTGAGAACAGCAGAAGCATCCCTTGCATTAGTATAAAGATACCACGGATATTTTAGTGTTGAAAGCTTGATTTCAGTAATAAGCCTTGCTAAGGAGTTGTATGAGTTTTTTCTTCTGGAATTACTGGGTTGTCTTTTCTTTGCATCAGCAATTTGTGGATATGTTTGTTTCTTACCCCAAAATCCATATTATAGCCAGAGGAACGTTTGTATCTGGGATGTTGCCAAAATACTTGATCTGGTTAGCTGTCTGCCTTTTCTTCACATAAAGTGAATACCCTCTAAACCAAAAATTGAGTTAAAATTTGAGCCAGAGCTTAAATTAGGTAACCCATTTTAACCTGTATTTTTAAATATGCATTCAAAATGAGACAGAAGAAACTAGAAGTGTCTTGCTAATGAGACTTCATTTTTAAGGAAGAAAATTGTGTTAGCAGTGAGGACGTGTTGTCCATGCTACTGAAGTATCTTCATTGGGTGGTCTCTGATTTTGTGAAAGCTAAGGGAAAGACTAGCTTGCCTAGGGTTTCTTGGCTTTAAGTTTAAGACAAGAGTCCTTGAGAGGTCGTTAGTTGTCAGAACTCTGTGTGACCTTGGTAGAAGTTGGAGCTCACTTGTTTAACGATGTCATACTAACCAGGGCTTGTTGGCACTCTAGTGCAAATTGGCATTATGCCTGCACTGCCAGCTTGTTGGGTTGCCTCCAGACAAGCTGAGAAGCTCCTCAGGCAGGCTGCAGGAAGGAATGATTGCACGGGTTACTCACCCTCAGAGGTGCGAGCGTTCAGTGTAGGGAAGTCAAACTTGCCACTTCAGAAAGGGTCCCTGCTATAGCTTTGGGATTCTCACTTCCCCATAGCAACATTCTCCCTCCTGATCTCTGAGTCAGCAGCTTATTGACACACGTGGGTATCTCCTGATGGGCAGGGACTATGTGGCAATTAGTTTTAATTTTTTGATTTACAGCCTGATTGTGGTGTTCTCTGTACAGCAAGGGAGTCTCTTGGCATTACTGACTCCACTTCCTTCCTCCCTGTTCTTTTCTGTCCTTCCTGTTTACTCATTACTGGTTCTGTGACTTCTTTCCCCACAGTAGCCTCCAGTTCTGAGGAGCTGTACTTGCCCAAACCTGTTTCTTGCATTAAAATCAGTGATTCTTTTGGTAATGCTGCATTGAAGTCACGTAACTGGGGATTGGACTTGACAATCTCATCAGACCTGCATGGGACAGAGGAGTTCACTGCTCTGCGTCATTGTTCCAGGGCTGGCTTCGGATGTTGTTACATCTATTATTCATTTCACATTTGGGAAGCTATTGCTGCAATCACAGCAGCTAGAAACATACTTATAAAAATGAAAGCTTTAATTTCAGAGACCTCAAGTAGGCATCGTGGAGTGCCTGCCTGACCTAAGGGTTCCTTAGAGTTGAGTCTGAAGAAGGGGCGTGTTGAGACCTAGATAATACTACCTTTGTATTCTTATATAAACTCCTTGTACAGGAATTGGATGACAGATAAGGTGTATGGGAACTAATATTACAATATTTACTCATGCAGCAGTAGTGAAAGGTAATTCTAGTGAATCATTCCATTTAGGAACTTTCACTGCCTCTTCTGCCTTTTTGAATTTTTTCTGAGGATGCGAGTTTTCAGTAGAGCTTCATGATGAATTTTCTAAATAACCAACAGTATTCAAGTCTATGCAGTCCATTGACTTCAGTTAGTATTGGATACTTAGCTGCCATTTTATCATTGAAAATCATCCATATTTAAATCAGTAAGTGCACAGTGGTCTTGATTTTTTTTTTTATTATTATAAAGGTCAACAGACTAAAATCAGCAATCTTCTAAAATAGAAATCAGTATCAATTGAGACTAGCTGAGGTGGCCTGTGTGATTTAATGGCAAAGTATAGAAGAGAATGCCTTCTAGCTAGGTAATCATTCTGTTAATGATCAGATATTCATCAGCTACTTTGTCAGTAAAGAAACCCAAATTTGCTTAGTAAAGATTAAACGAAACAGTGAACATTTCCTAACTTTGATGTTTATGATGATGCAAGCCAGGGACATTACCATTTATAATAGTTTACTGATGTAGGACAGGGATGTTTTAATTTTGGGAACAACAAGAAACTATCCTTGTGGGCTATATGTGTGGGCAGATTCACAGTAATTAGGACAGAATGGTCAAAAAGAAGGCTACCCGCTGATAATGAGCAGTGTATCGAGCTATGCTGTCCACCTCTGCTCATGTTGCAACCTCTGATAAAAAAAGAGACGTAATGTAGGACAAAGATCAGAGACAAATCCTGCCTTTTAAGGGTAATAGCCCTGGGTTCTGCAATTAATTGCAGGAAGGAGAGAGGGTCTTGCATGAATTTCAAAAGGAAAGTAGGTTCGTCTGAACTGATGCACATTACTTAAGCTGCGCACATATTCCTCATCAAAATAAGCCCATTATGTAGCAGTAGCAGCTGTGAGCCATTATTAATATTTAACACTCTTAGCAGGGGTTACTATGGGTTCCTGTAATAAGGTTACAAGACAGTGTTGCAATATCATGTGATGTGGGTTTGCATTCTCAAAGCTTTTTTGGCTTTGTATAAAGTGCCAGTGAAGTTTTATTTATTCCCCTTCCCTACCATTTGTAGAGGCTGAATATCTTCCTCTGCTGCATTGTAGTGCATGATTATCCATTCTTCCTTGCCTCAAGCTTTACTTTATGCATCACCTGCTGCTTAGTAATGTGAATGTAGGAAGTCCCATGCTGGT